AGCCACAGCCACTTCTGCATCCGCGGCCATCAGCCGAACCTTGCATTCTGCACACACGCGGTCCTCTGCACCAAGCATGCGAATGCATCAAGGCTGCGTAAGGGGAATAGATGCCTCCGCACTCCGTGTGCTCGTAGAAAGGCTCCTCACCGCACAGGAATGCAAAGAGAAAGGCTTGCCACGAAGGTGCCGCGCAATCAGGAGGACGCCGGCTTTCCAAGATTCTATTGGTCCGGTGTTCGACTTCCTTTCTCTGCATATCCGTACCTTTACCATTTACATCCGCAGGTTGCCATGCACCACACCCTTAGCCAGCTTCCTCCTCGCATTCGACCCTAGGACACCTAGTGGCAAGCATGCTCATGGAGGGCCGAAGCTCCTTCCGCGGCAGCAATTCGTCAAAGTCGCCGATCCAAGTGCCGCGTTTAAGCACTCCAGGACCGTCATCCTGGAAACATCTCTGGAAGTCTTGTGAAGACAGCCTACCGTCAGAAACATGCAGGAAGCGGGAGCGGGGGGACGGAGATTCCGAACCACATTGGAATCAATTGGCCTACTGGTTTGTGAGATCTTCTAACCTCGATTTATTTCCAGGTATGTATGTAGAGGAAAGAGAGTGAAGAAGAGACAGTAGAGAGAGAGAGACGGAGAGCGAGAGACAAAAAGCGAGAACTCGAGATGGGTGTACATATACATTCGCAATTCTTACCTACCCTATCCTACTCCAACCTACGCAGAAGCGAAGAGATCAACACGACGCGCAGAGAACCAATGATGACGCGACCAGCAACCTCAATCGAGGCGATCCTTCCTTCGATGCGGCCACAAGCTGAGGAAGAGCCTGAGATGCCAAGGTCTGCAAAAAAAACTCAAGCCCAGCTGCAAACTGTCAGCCCAGGGCCATTAAGCGCCGCACGAGGAGGAGCGGAAGATCGCCTCTTCCTGGCTGCCGGAAGCATGTTCGAAGCCTCTGCCAGGGGCAGAAGAGTCCTGGAATTCCATGGGAGCTCAAGATGACAAGAGGGTCTAGGGTTTAGGGTTGAGAGCCCCTTTCGTGCCTCCACCACAGTTGTAGCCATGAGCGAAGTTTAGCATGAGAACGCGCAGCCCAAGATCTGGCTGAGGCGGTGCAATGGAGATACTTATACGGCCTGCATCAGTGGGTAGTTCTCTCAATTAGGGTCCCTGTTTAGGTCCCCAATATAGTATACAGCACCCTTACAAAAAGGGGCCCCTGAAAGGGAACCTAATTTAGAGAACTACCCACATCCGTCTGGCTCAGAGCCCCACCCGCTGCGACTTTTGCAGCATCCAGGGTGGACGCCTGACCGAGGCCAGCGACCCCCGAGGCATTTCGTTTTTGAGATCTGGGGTTTCAGCACTCACTCTCGGACTTACCTTGGCGAGGTTCCTGGTACGACGATCTGGGGTTTAGGGTTTCGGGTTTAGGGGTTTAGGGGTGGGTTTAGGGGTTTTCCCGTCGAAACGTGCCCGGCAGGGCTTTTTGTCCAGCTAGACCCCCGGATGCGAAGTCGTAGACATTCATGCGTGCACCAGAGCAGAGCAGAAGAGGCCGAGGCAATGAACCACGGAGACCCTAAACCCTAAACCCTAAACCCTAAGCCCCCAAGCAAAAGCCCTGCTCAACCTCGATGGTCCCCTGCAGCGTTGGCAAAGTCCCGGGGGCCGAGGGAGGCGCTGGAGACCTGAACAAAAAGAGGCTGAGGAGACTTGCATAGTAATATATTCAATTATCTTATCTTATATTTTGTTATGTTATGTTATCTTATCTTATATTATGTTATATTATATTATATTATGCTATCTTATCTTATAATTTATAATATTATATTATAAAGGCCGGGGGCCTGCTCTGGGTGCCAGCCAAGCAGCGCCATGGTGAAGGTGTAGTTGCTGGCAGTCTCGCAACCTTTCCCCTAAACCCTTTTGAACGAGGTCGCTCCCTAAACCCTACACCCTAAACCCATTTCCCAACATCTGCAGCTTCTCATGGTCTGAAGCACAGGGCTACCAACGTCCTCTGCAGCTTCTTGGGGTGGCAGAACGAGGGAGCACCGACTTCTTTCCGAGCGTCGCTCCCTCTCTTCCACGGGCAGGCTGAGCAGGTTGCAGATTGTTTCATGCCTTGGGAGAAAACTGTCACTGATCCCCGGCCTGAGGAAGCAAATCGGCACTGTTAGCTTCGTCCTAGGTGAAAACACCCACGACGGATTCCTGAGATCCCCGCATTTGCTTCTCTGCTCGCGAGAGGATCGTCTTCGGCTTTGGAAGTGGATGGGGCATGGCATCGGTCGGGGTGCGTGGAGTGCGCTCTCCAGACTAGCAGCTCCGGAACTTTGAACATGAACATGAAGCTAACTGCACGGCCGTTGAATGCTGCGCTGCCGCCATAGGTCAGCACAGCGGATTCTCTGGTGACTGCAACTTCCTATGCTGGAACCTCATGTAAGAGCTCTTGTAAGAGCCAACATGAACAAAGCAGAGCCTGAGACTAAAGTCTGCAGGATGGGTCAAGGAAGCGTTTGCCAAGCAAAGCCTTAACCCGTCTTTGCTTGCGATCTTTGCCGTGAGTCCGATGTCCTAACATCCCTTTACAGGTACTGGAATGGCAGAACCCGCACTCCCACCACTCTGCAGCCTGAAGCACCACCACACAATTCCCTCGATGCTGGGCCCCGGTCGTTCATGATCATGAGCTCGTTGTCTCCCCGGTCCGCCACAAATGCGAAGATGCCGGGCAAGGGCCTAGGTTCTTTTTGGACAGCTCCCTGGCGGGTTTTGTTTCGAAATCGGACTGACACATCTACCAGGCACCTCACTGCAGTTCAATCTTGAAGTCATGGTTGAAGTTTATATATAAACATATTATATAATATAAGATATATAACACATAATATATAATATATACTATATGATAATTATATAATATCAAATATATTCTATATTATATATAATATATCTAATAGTATCTAATATACTTTATATTATATATAATTTAGAGCTTACGACTCCCAGCTTCAAGAGCGCTGCCATGAGGACCCTTGCAGGACCTGACGAAGCGGCGAGGCTAAAAAAAGCCCCGAGGGCCCAGCAGAAGAATGCGCCAAAGATCTCTTCGGCTCGCTACTGAAGCCAGAAACTCGCGATCGAAGGACTTCTGAAAGTACCTGCTGACATTTTCGATTTAGGGTTTAGGGACCCTTTTTTTTTTGAACCCAGACTCTGCCAATCAGCTGGGAAGCGGCACTTCCAGACTAAACCCTAAACCCTAAACCCGAGGGAAAGGAAGACCCTGACCTTCACCCGTTTACTCAACGCTTCAGCGGAGCGGCCTCCGAATTTCCGGGCCCAAGGCCGCGCAATCTTTCAGCGAGGCCGCCGCAAAGGCCTGTCGTTCAAGAGGCGCTGCGCCAGCGGCCGAGGCAACTCTTGTAAAATCCAACGCATCCGCACTAGTACCTGGTAGATTGCATCTAGGTACTATGCACATGTCCAGCAACTTTCAACACAGGGTGTTTGCCCCGACGCGCGCCGGATGGTGTTGAGGGACCGACGCGCATCATCCCACGCTCGGGCGGAGGCGCCGGTCTGTCCTGAGATCGGCAGGGTTGAGGGTTTAGGGCTCCCACCTAGCTAGGACGAAGCCCGCATTGCAGGATACCGTCGGGAGAAAAGTAGTGCAGCGATTCAGCATCCTGCGGCAGGTATCGCTTGGTTGAGGGTTTAAGGTTTAGGGGATGATGTGTTATCTCGAACAGCGTACTCATGATGAAAGCCATGAGCTGCAGGATCACTGGTGCTGGTCATGACGATGAATGACAATGTGAAATTTTGAATCACCTCTGTGCAATGGCAATACAAGATGAAGGGTCACCAGAGTGACCAGAATTAATCCTCAAGCATGACACGAACACAAGTTGGTCATGGTGGAATGATAGGAATGGTCGCAGTCATGACGACAATATAGTAAGTAATGACGCTGACGCTGCTGATGGTGATGGTGATGGGGCTGGTGATGGGGCTGGGGATGATGATGGTGCTTTTGCTGGTGCTGGTGTTGGTGCTGGTCATCACGACCAAGGTGACGATGCGGATGACATTGGAATAACAGAAATAAACACCTTGAAAATGCTAATCATCTTCCTCGTCAACATCATCATCAACCTTACTGTCGTCGCAGCATCACCAGCCCGCACATCCTCGACTTCGTTCTAACTTCCTCAACTGTATCACTGCCATCATCATAATCACCATCGTTGTCATCATCAGTAGAGAAGCAGCAAGACCAGCGGCATCAAAGGCAGCTACGGTACAGCTGCAGTGTTGACTTGATCACAGCACGCGCCTAAGGACGGCATGAAACCACAGACTGATCGAGAGAAAGCTAGGAACCGGTGGTAGGTCTGATCTGGCGAGCCAAGACGATGACAGTAGTCGCGAAGCAGCTGAGCAGCAGATTGCCTTGCTAGGGTTGCCAAATCGCAGTCCAAGGGGCGCCAGTCGGCGAGTATCGGCCGGGATACGTATTGACAACCATGCCCCTGCAGGATGCAATGTGTTGAAGACTTACGGTGCAAAGGAAAGCGCGACTGAAGCTCAAGCAGGTCATGCAATTCTCCACTTCACGATGATCCGGGCTACTGAAGAACGGCAGCGGCCCACTGCCCGACAGTCCTTCGTTCCTCCATCGGGGCAGAAAGCCGAAGCAACGCTTGAACAAAAGAAGGCGGCAGGATCGTCATATTGTTGATGATATAAATCCTGCATTACCTTAAGGACCCTAACCTATGCGAATTGTGGCATATTCCTTATTATGGGTAATGCAGGGTTTATATTATCAACCGTAGTTCATAGCTTCATGTGCCAAACCCTGGCGCAAGGCGACGTAAAAAACTGAGGACGCCCTTCTTGAATTTTCCCCTGTCACTGCTCGCCAGCATCTGTAGAAAGACTCGAAGGCACCTTAATGAGCCTTAAGGCTACCTTAAAGGCGAAGCCTCGGAAGGATTCGGTGAGTCCTCCGGAGCTGAAGGCAACTTGCAGCCGGAGCTCTTGGCATCAAAATCCTCAGACTCGCATTCTTCGTGTTGCTTGGCCCAAAGGGGCCGACAGGCTCCGTACGCCTTGGCGGCAGTGTCTCATCTCCCACATGTCTTTCAAGCTCAGAACGAAGTAGTATGGGCTTCGGCTTTGACTCTGGGTTCATAGACTTCGGGCTTAGAACAACCGCTGAACATTTTTGGCTTCCGCGTGGCAGCATCCGAAGTCACTACGTGGCAGGTAGCCAATGAGCTAGTGTAACTGGGTTTGTTTTGGAGAGCCCAAGCCCAAGATTGGAAAGCTGAGTGCTGAAGAAAGCGAGCCAGCCACGGTGTGTGCTCCAAATAAGCACAGCGCAAGCTGAGCCCCTGCGTAGGTGTTGCGACCACCGAAATCAACCAGAAAGCGGCCACCAGTGTCCCCGGCAAAATTGCCGAGACAGATGGCGAGAAGCTTCAGTAGCTGGAACTGTGCCTGCATTGCCGCGGCTTTCCCTCGTTGCTACTCTGTTTGGTTTGTTTCGTGTCCTTCATCGACGCTGCAGTCAATGAATGACTCCAAAGTTTAGAGCGGCTAGCCACATCCAAAAGCGGTCTGTCTTTGTGAAGGCCTTGCATTGCCTCGCATCCTTTTCCTAACGTGCACCTAACCCGAGCCGACAAGCCCAACATGCCCCAACGCATCGGCCAGCAAGCGCAAGATTCCTGGCCCCCGGCCTGGCCGAAACTGGTGCCCTCCTTCGCCGCCCGGGACCCCCAACCATCTGCGATGCCATTCGCCACGGCAGTTCCTGTTTACAGCGCAGCGCAACTCTCGCAAGCAGAAGCTGGCAAGCATCAGCATACAAATGGCTGGAAGACACAATCCAATAGAAGTCTGAGATTAGAGGGTTGGATTTTCCTGGAGAGGTATGTGGCCTGAGATGATACGACAGGTTTTTGTACCGCAGGCCAAGGCGCCACTAAAAATGACCGTGCCACCTGTGATCAGGGTCCAGGGCCCAGCATTCCCCCCATCAAAAAGCATGGCAGCGCCGAAGACGCAGGCCAGCATCGCAGAGAAATAGACGGAGGACTCTGAAGCGAAGCCGCTGTTGATCAATATCTTCATGACGACGGCTAGAACGATGCCCACCGGACACATGATAGTTAAGCAGAAGCCACAATGATAGGCATCCCAGCCGTAGAACAACTCCAGCATCATGGTGATGGACACCTCGATTGCTGCGAGCGTCATCGGCCGCTCACAAAAGTGGGCGAACATCTTCCAGTACACCGTCTCTCTGCCATGATCCTCAAGCAGCTCCGGGCGGGCCTCCCCCGATTTCCTCGTTTCGGGGGCCTCCTGGGCTGGTGTTTCGGGGAGGGCCGCGGGGAGCTCCGTGGGCAGGCCGAAGACGCAGATGGCCAGGGAGGTGAGGTTTATCCAAGTATTGAAGACGCCCACCCAAGCCATCCTCGGCTCTTTTTTTTAAGGGATTTGAGTTAAGTTTCTATAATAAGGAAACCATATTATTTACTATATACTATAGATATCTATTGTGGTAACTTAACGTAAATCCCGTTAACAAGAGCCCAGCATCATGCTTCGCGGGCTTACCGCTAAGCCTCCCTTGATAACCGCCCGGCTGAGGATCGAGAAACAGACAGGGCCGATGGCCATCCCTGCGCTTCGGGAGCATTGCATTATGACGGTCCATATCGTGCGATTGCCTGGGTTGGTGACTTTGGTCCAGAGGAGCACGCCAATAACGTTCGGAATGCCCGCAAAAAAGGCGACCACGAAGTTCCAAGCAAAGCCAGTCCACCAAATGAGGCTCACCCGGCTGCTCGTGGCAGTCCTGCCGCTATCAGGGGTGGCTGGACCCACTATTTTCCACAGTTGGGGGTTAGCATACGACATGTTGCCGGGCGGTCCAGTTGAGAAAGCATGCGAAGGCCAAGGTCGCAAAGGACGTGAAAAAGTAGACAGAAAGCAGCAGCCGCCTGACGAAGAACTGGTTCCACCTCGTCTCGACAACCAGCTGATTGCCGACGAGGGTTCCCAGAACCGATGCGATGAGCTGGATGCCCATAAAGAGTCCAGATGCTGTCGGAGTTTGATCCAAGCTGAGTGCATAGTCCAGTGTCAGGGGCATGCTCACGCCAGCCAGGAGGAAGCCGCCCAAGCCTTGATCACCACAGGGCGGGATGTAGTTCGTTTAAAGCAGGGTTTTGACGAAATTTCGGTCTTCCGGCGACCATCCTGACTCCAGGTTAGGGGCCTCGAAATGCAAGTCTAAGCTCGCAGCAAAGGGGACAACAAGTGTAAGGCTATGAGTGCAGGCCAAGCAGCTCTGCCATGTGCAGAAAAGCTGGCAAGCTTTTCTCTGCAGTGGCACCCAGCCAATCATTATTCTCTTGCTCTCGGAAACACTCCGTTCATGTAGAAAGACCGCCACCCATACAGCGACGATCGGCACGAATACCACCCAGCCGAAGCCCACAACTCTCCTCAGTGGAGGATTTGACGAGATCCCTCGAGGAGTGAACGACTCATGCTGCAGTGGCCTAAGTAGGCATAAGCACCTTGTGCGAGTATTCTTTGACCATATGAAATCACTACAAATACCCCAAGCGCTTGTCGCAACTGTTGTTTTTATCTTGACCGATATCCGAACCGTCCAAACGAGGCTCATCATACTACTCCTCCCTCTCCCCCTCCCCTTACCCGTCCCCCTCACTACCACTAGTACCACCATTACTACTACTGCTACCACCACCACCACCACCACCACCACCACGACAACGACTACTACTGCTATGTCTACGACTACTATGTCTACGACGACGACGACAACGACGACGACTACTACTAATAATAGTACGACTACGACTACAGCGATGACGATTACTACTACGACTGCGACTGCGACTACGACGACGACAAGCAGACTCTCTGAGTTGGCAGGAGGGAATCAATATGGCTAATGTAGCCGGCTTTACTCGTCAGGTTGGTGCCGAGTCACACACCCAAGTTTGGCATGACAGCCCCAGATTTGTTAGGTGGATCCGACACACGTCCAACAGCCTGGCTCTCACCTCAGGAAGATAACACGGCTCGGCACAAACCCGTCAGCATACCGGCATGCCTGCGACCGCACGATCGCGACACCGAGTTCAAACAGGAGTACACAGGACCATGAAGTAAGACAAGAGGCTGATATCTATTGCCACCGCATGTGCCGCAAGCCCATCCTTTCTCAAGCGGAAATCTTGCTGAAGAAAAACGCTGGCATCTCCAGCATCCTCTGGCCTCGTCGCAGGTCCCATTGTCTGAATCAGGGTTGGAGGTCTCGAAAGGTCGCAGGGGTTTGCTCCCATGTTAGTCTTCCAGCTGGCGTGAGCCCCGAAGCCTGTGGGGACATCCCCAGTAAAGATGAGCAGAGGGATTAGAATCTGGCAAGAACGATCGGAACTAACTAGCACAGACACGACCGCGAGAAGTGGCCTGAGGCACGGAGAAGAGTGTCATGGAAGAACAGCAGGAAACTCTATGACCTGCTTTCCCTGGCCTGGCCTTCCCTGGATCTCACAGTCTTGCCCCGCGGATCGCGACAGGGCAACCCCAAGAGCCAGCAGTGCGAGCTTCCCGGGGAACATATATGGACCTGGGCTGCGCGGGCTCTGCACGAGATACGGCTACTGTCCCCATGAGACTTTCGACTCTCACTCTCGCACAAGGCTGCGCACAGCTCCGCACAGGACGGACCCAATGAAAACTCGCAACAACTAATGACAATGACCCTGCCAAAGCACGACAATGACCCTGCTAAAGTACTACAAACCCTCAGAAAGGCCAACTTCAACCGGACGATGGCAGGCAAAAGGCAGTTCGATGAACGGTTCAGTCGTTTGCAAGGACACGGACCAAAGGTCCATGCCACATGGGCTTGAGCCGGTCAAAGTTGTCAGTGGGAACGAGATAGCAAACCAACTGAATTGTGCATATCGACCACCTCGATTTAAAGAAAAATCACGGTATTGTTGGCGGTAAACCCTCAGAAGCACTCATTGCTCATGAGTCATGGGTCTGTGGGCTGTCCAATACCCCCAGATGAGAACGAGCAATTACTACTGCGCATCACCTACAGGGGAGGTCAAGGAGAAGCACCGTGCAACTTTTCAACATCACATCGAAACATGTGCCGATCGCGCACGGCGTAGGATGCTGGCCTCACTTCTTGTGCTTGCCCACCTTGCCGATGCTTCTTGCCGTTCGACACCAAGCCGGAGAGTTGCGGGCCACGGTGCGAGCCCAGCAGTCAGCACCACCAAGTTGGGTCTCGGCATCCTCTTTGCTAGACGGCTGTTATGCAGCTCGCGAAGACAAGCCAGACTTCACTATGGCCACGGCGAATCCAACTTCTGCCTGCCCTTGTCCGGTTTTCGCTTGATTGTCCAAGCTGACTCGCTCCGGCCAAAAAAACAGCATTCTGGATCTGCATCTTCGACCTCCAGCCAGATCGAAACAAAAGGAATGCACTGTGGCGTCACTGCTTATTTCGACACCGGAACTTGGGGTTATAGTGTGGCACCCGATGAGGTGCACACCTGTCCGACGCGCACTCGCCGCCGACAGCGGAAGGCTGCAGGATGCCTTCGAGAACTTCAGGATTGCCAGGGCTCCGTCACCCAAGCTCTGCATTCAGGACCTCCAGTATCCTCAGGTGCCGGAGCAATCTCCCGAAGTTACAGCTATGGCCGTCACCAAAACTTGGCGATGGGAAGTCAAGCATCTGCCGCCGCCCTTGGGCAGACGTGCACTCGACAATCGTCTCCAAGGCAGTCGATTGATCAGATGCGGGGTAGTTCAGAACTATCCTGCGAGATTGAGACGACTGCTTCATCGGGGGCGGGGTGTACGTCCGAAAAAGGCTTTGCGCAGTTGCGCCGTTGCGCCGCACCGGAAAAAGGTGTTGGGTTCGCCGCTGCGCTGTACGCCGTGCCGCCGCGCTGGATGGCCGCACGCGCGCTGTGGTCTGCACTCGCGTCGCTGCGCCGTTGAGCCGTTGCGCCGCGCCGCGCGCGAGCGCGAAGTACTTGTGAGATCCCACGCCGTTGCGCCTGTGGCGCCGCTGCGCTGTTGCTGTCGCATGTGTTGTCGCACACGGTTGCTTACACCGTTGCGCTGTTAACTGCGCCGTTGCAAGTTTCCGCTACAGATGGAGCCTTGGACTGCTGGGGCGCCCCGGATTTTAAGGTCAGAGCTCTTCGAAACCTTGAACTCCGAGGGTGGGGCCTTGGAATGATGGGACGCACCAATCACGGAGCATCTGTGTCGCACCGTCGCAGGACAGACAATATACTATAATATACTATAACATACTATAATATAATATAATACAATATAATATACTATAATATACTATAATATGCTATAATGTACTAGACACATGGAGCACGGAGAACGGAGCACCGGAGCGGAGCAGCTCAGTGTGGACGGCGTTGACACTTTAGGGTTTAGGGTTTAGGGTTTTTTTTTTCCCACCCGCTTCGCTGACTGGGTCGGTTTAGGGTTTAGGGTTTTGGGATGGAATGTGTCACGCTCCTCTCTGCACACCCCACGAACAGAAGCGCCCTGTGTTGCGGAATGTTTTCTGGGAAGCAAGGAAAGCTTTTCATCTTCCATCCCCTTCGCACACTCACAAGGCCACGCTCCTCGCGTTCAAAGACGGCACCTGCATCTCCGTCCCCTTTCCATCTGCTCCTTTCAGAAAGGCTTTGAACTTTGGACTATTGTATTCAGAACTCGATCTGGTGATCGACAGACCTCAGCGCTCTACCTGCATCCTGGCCTTCGCGGACTTCCACTTCAATGCCTCTGGCTTGGAATCCCATCTTGATGGCCTCAAGGGTCATCGACAGCAGTCTATATTACTTAGTTGCCCCTAAAACCACGCGAAAAATGCGACGAAATGGACACGGCGCCTCTTTGCTCATCTCCACCGCTGGCGCTGCCCTGGACACCAGCGAGGAGATCCGGGGCCTTCCCAAATGGTTCAGGGTTTCCTCACCCGCCCAGCTGACTATGTCGCACCGCAGGGAACTCGTCCGTCGAAGAAGGAACTATACTCTGGGGAGGGTCCGAGGCAGCACACACGCCCTGGAGCGAAAAGCCAACACCAAATGTCCAACCATACAAAGGCCAGGGATTGCATACGCGTCGACCCTCGGGTTCTAGCCTCGTTTGACATAGAGCGACAGTATACTATCCCGAAAAAGCAACCATCAGCCCAGACTGTCCTCATTATGTCACACGAGGCACAGGGGAAGAGCCAACTCCCAAAATCTAGGACTACACCAGCATCACGCAAGGAAAGAGCACTTTACGTGTGGTAATCCTATAGGCGGTAGAGCTTCCCTCGTACGAGGTTCAGGGTTTAGGTTTTAGGGTTTAGGGTTTAGGGTTTAGGGTGTGCTGCGCCGCGGATCCCGTGGCACAAGCAAGTTGGCATTAAGTCCCAAAGTCAGGGTTGAAAAAGCTCTACCAGCAACCACCAAGCTTACCATCAGCCCACCTCCTCCGCCCAACGAAAGCACCTTCGAGCAAGTCACCAGCGGAGCGCTTGCCTGCATGCCGAACAGCAGATGATGTAATGATGATCATGGTGGCTGATGTCGGTGAAGGTAAGTCAGGTGGTGGCGGGGTCATAGTGATGATGTGGTGAGGGCATATGGGGAGGCTCACAATGATTCCGCAGCTGCTATGATCATTGACGGCGACAACTTCGATACTCTAGTCGGCTATGATACAGATGAGCATCAGCACTATGGCCAGCAGCATCGTCACTGTCATCAGCGGCAGCGGCAGGACCATCTCCTGCGTCGACACTAGTATGCACATCGTGACCCAAACCCCTTTTCACCACCTTCAACTATCATCTGCATCGTCACCATCATCAACATCATAATCATCATCATCATCATCATCGCCATCATCATCATCATCATCCTCATCACCTTCATCGCTCGCACCATCACCATCCTGAGTCGCCAGCATCATCAAATTCTTCTGCTTCCTCATCATCGCCACCGTCTTCAAAGAGGTCATGGAAATCTCCATCCGGTACCATCGTAGATATCGTCACCTTCACTAACCGTTGACAACCAGCAAGAAGCATCACCATCATTCTATCATCATAGCCCGAATCATTATCGTAGCCTAGTCCTGGTATTTTCCACCCCCACACACTCTCGACGACCTTGGGCGTACTCATGCTTGGCCACGTGAAGCAGAATGACATTGATGATCATGGTGAAACTGAAGATGAGATGGAATTCTTGGTGCCGAGAATGGCAAACCAAAGGAATGGCATACGAAAACAAGATGAGATGATCGGTAAAGGTATGGATTCGCTGTGCGAGACACGACGGAACCAAACAGCACAAAATGAGATGAAGGTCAATGAAGGTGAACATGAGGATGAGGGTCCCGCCAGCTGCTCACGACGGGGCCCAGGCGCAGACCAAAGCAGGTACCTTTTCCTGGGGGTGTAGGTGTAGGGCCCTACACCCTCTTGGTTCCCCTGCACGAGGTGAAAATTGAAACAAAGAAGACTGGCGTGACCAGGACCCTGCACGCCCACACACACACGTTGCATCAAATTGCATGATGTCCCGATGTCCCTAAACCCCTTCCACTCATTGCCTTGTTGGACACGTGCGAGCTGATCTTCCGGCAGCCAGCACTGCACTCGCGCAACAGACCTCAGCGCAGTGAGAAGCCCCGAAAGCCTCTAGGAAGGAGCTGCCGTTCGTTGGATGTTGCAGAGCGTGGAAGCTCATAAAATGCCATGGCCCGCTTTGGGTTTTGCAAGCGTACTGCACGTCTTTCGTCCGACAGATGAGGCGCAAGTCCACGGGCACATCCAGGAACTCTGCGGGCGGCAGGACCAGGGGTGACTTTCCGGCCTGGCGGCTTCACAATTTGCTCATATTATATTATGTCATATTATATTATATTATATTGTATTATATTGTATTATATTATATTATAGTACATTATAGTATATTATATCATATTGTATTATATTATATTGTATCATATTGTATTATATTATATTGTACTATATCATATTGTATTATATGATTAGCAACAGTAGAAGCACAAAGAGAGAATGACTGCAGGAGCCTTCTGCATCGAGGAGATTCCCAGAAGCTCAACGTCCCTCCTGCACGAGGATTAAAGTTCAGCCCGTCACAGCTCGAGCCTGCCTGTCCTCGTAAGCAGCAGACGACCAGTAGCCCAGCGCCGAAGCTCCTGGGAGTCATGCCAGTTTGGGCAGAATACTGTAGCAGCTGAATTGCACAGTGGCAGCAGGATGCAGTAGCAGTAGCATGGGAAAGCTGCAATGCACATACTCCATCGTAGATTAGAAGGGGCTCCGATCCGGTCAGCCGACGTCGAAGAGGCTTGCCAATGCCTTGTTCCGGATATGCTGAGTTGCAGGCAATAACCGGCGTGGATATTGGCCGAGATGCATGGAAGCTGGCAGCCCTCCATAAACAGGTCACTCTGTAACAAGCGAGATTCCGGGTTGCTTGCCTAGGCTAGCGGCTTCTGCTAGCCACTGCTAGCCACGGCAGGATACGGAAGGTCAGGTTCAGCAGAGCCGACAGCGCAAGTGCTGCTAAGTGTCCCAGCGACCATCGAAGCCTTGAGCCAGGCTCCCTGGAACCAAAAGCACGCAGGGCCTCAGAGCTCTCCCAAAGCCACCGCAAAGCGCAAAAGGAAGCCCTGCGCCGGGATGCCAGAACCCTTCGCCGAGCTTCCCACTCCTGATAGGACTCCGCCATCTCGGAGAGGCTGTCTGCCCTTAGGAAATTGAAACAGCTTCTCATCAAACTACGGCCTTAACCCTGAACCTCAATACCCCAGGATCCCGGACCCGCCACGGCAAAGTTTGCCGAGATACAACACAAGCCGCCCGCTGTCGCGAAGTGCATCCACCAAGAAAGGGTGCTCACCGCTATGGGCTCGATCCTCAGGAGGGCACATGACTGCGACTAGACTCCCTGGGATCTGTAGGAAATCTGCAAGAAAACTTCGGTGGAAAGAAATAACGAAAGAAAGATCAAAGCAGGGGCAAACACACTGATCGAACCTGTCTCGCAATGCGCGTGAGACATACTGTGTCATACCCACAGTCAGAAAGTCAAACGAAGAACGCGAAGAGGAAGGTGACCAGCAACAGGGACGACGAGAACGACAAGGCAGAGCTCCGGAAAGGTCAACTCCGTTTGTCAAGTGGCCAAGCATGTTTTCGACGAAAACTCTGCAAAGACCCCGCACCGCCTGACAGGCTCCAAGGGTCAAAAGGTCGTTGCGGAGTCACTAACGCCTAGCCACTCTTGGGCATACCTGATGCAAAGGGTCCGATCGGCTGGTGCAAAATCACCTTCTACGGAAATCTTGGCTCACAGGCTTCATGGCGTGAGGAAAAGAAAGTGAAGGCCGAACTCACAGAATGGTGAAGGCCTCAAGCGGAGAGCCGGCGCGCCACAAGCGAAGATTGGCCCTTGGCACCTCACCCCAGAGGCTCTACTGTTGCAAGGGCGGGCCCCTGTGTACTTGCGAAAGGTCCGAAGAAGATTCACAGGCGGCTGAGACTTGCGCTTGTCGGGAAGGTCTGAGATCTGTCGCGAAATAGACATCACGAGATCTTCGGTGAAGGCCTGCGCAAACGACTCCGCGATCCGGCATACCATGTCACACTGCAAATTCTGCTAATGCTATGCCACCAGGCTGACTGATGCAGCCGACGCTGCTCCTTCTGCTAAGGGCCACTGGGCTGGTAATGGTTCCAACGACGAACACGTTCACGACGGCCATGACAACAATGACAATTGCTGCGCTGGCACTCAAGGAATTACAACAACTATATAGGGAAACTGTGTTTAACAGATAAACTATCTAAGTACAGCTGATAGTCCATATAGTTATTCAACCGTCAAGCAAAAAGGAAAAAAAACACGATGCGGCAATAGACAATAAGAAGACAGTTTCATTCGGGGCTTCTGGATATAGCTACTTCACCAAACACAAGGATGAGGATCGCAAAAAGAAATACATAGCGAGGCAGAAGCCCAACCAAGACGGGAAAGATCATCAAACCAAAAGGATCCTATGCAAAAAATATCTTGTGGAATAAACCAACAGTTGAAGCATCTGTAAATGATACCAATAAACATGTCCCAAATATATGAGACAAAAAAGTCAGCTAAACATGAATAATTTACCTAATGTTTACCTTGCGCTGCAACTGCATAGCTTACACCAAGCTTCGCAGTTGTCGCTTTCGTGGGCGATGCTGTTATCTAGCCTCTGGGCTGTCATGTTACT